GTTCTTCTTCTTGCTCTTCTTCTTCTTCTTCTTCTTCTTCTTCTTCTTCTTCTTCTTCTTCTTCTTCTTCTTCTTCTTCTGTATTTAGTCAATAATATGCTTCTCAAAATGCCACCCATTTTGGCAAGTAGAGCTTACGTGCATGGTGACCTGCTTGCCATCTCTTCCCTCTCCAGTAACCTCTTGCCCCCCAAGTACAATATCGCCAAGCTGAGCACATGGCAGTCTTCTCTCAATGCCTTGAACAAGGAGCTCGGTGAGTGACATTTGTGGAGCTCTCTCAGATCTCTCTGAAACTGTTGAAGTAGTAGCTTTGGCATAGCTCTGCCCAGCAGCCACTTATCTGGGAGGATGTGGGTGGCACTTCCATTCTGGGAAGAGAGGAAGGTGAGACAATTGAGCTCTGGGGACTTATAGGAGGATCAGAAGATACAATTTTTCCATCCTTTGAGACTCACAGCAGTGTACTGGGATCAGTGACATCATTGTCCTCCTGTAACAGAGGACTGCCAGAGTCAGAAGCATTCCAGACAGAGATGGGCTCTTGTGAGGTCTTTATCTCGGGGTACCTGCAACTCTAAGGAGAGCAGTACCAGTCATTGCTGTGAACCCACAGATGATCTGTGGAGATGTTTTGCCAGGGGGAAGCAGCTTCCCTTGGCAAAGGGGTTACTCTTCTTTTTCCTGTTTTGTTTTCTGTGCCTGGAGGTGCCTACCACATGGACTGCATGATGCGGATCCGCTTGCTGTATGAAAAGACATGGCAAGAGTGCTTGGCCGAAGTGCAGAACTGCAAGGTGGGCATCGTCTTACAGGCCTGCCAAGGAGCTACACCTGGGCCTCCACATGCTCCCTTGCCAGCTCCCCTCCTGGATACCCTTTAGTCATGACCCTGACTTTTGTTCCTTCATCCAAGGCCCTGGCACTCACCAGCTTCTGATCCTGTTCCCTCTGCCCAGCCCCTCCCCAGCTGTTCCTGGAGTCCTGAGGGTTTATTCCAAAGCCACCTCCTCCAGGAAATCCACTGTGAGGTGTGTGCCTTAGGCCTCCTTAGACTTCAGCCTTAACTCTCTGTGTCCTGCACACCGCTGTCCTCAGGGCCCCACCTACTGCCCCTGAAGCTTCTGCTGCTCCCTGAGTGCTTGCAGCCACTTTGCACTGCCATTTGGCCCCAAGGGAGCAGAACCAAGAGGAGCCCATGTTCACCCTGCAGCCAGGTGGGGGCCCTTTTGGGTGCAGTTTATCCCCCAGGATCTGTAGCCCTAACCTGGGCCAGGCTTTTTGCTTCCCTCCCTAGAAGCAGCTGTTGGACTGGAAGGCCTTCACTGAGGCAGAGGCCGAGAACCTGGTGAGCCTGACCTTCCAGACAGTGGGGGCGTTGCAGAGCAAGGTGGAGGAGGAGCTGGAGCTCCTGGATGTGCGTGAGCCACTGGGGCCCAGAGTTGTGGTGGGCTTCCCGGGCTGCTGGGCACAAAGGCAGTGGAGGACGGGAGCCCTCTGCTTGCATGGCCCTGGGGTGTTAGCATCCTGGCTCTCAGCTCCCCTCACAGAGCAGACCTGTGATGGGGTTTCCATGCTCGCCCCCCCAACATCCTGAAGCCACACCTGACAAGGGTGCTGCACATACTCAAGGAGATCATGAGTCTCAGGGTGGGAGGGCACCTGAGCCCTTGCTGCTCTGGGTAAAGAGAGTTACAGATGAGCAAGAAGTCCCCGGCCCCAAGAGGCCTACAGTCTTGAGCCAGGGACAGCAAGCACTTTCTGTGGAGGACTGGATAGTGGCTATTGTATACTCAAAGGGCCACCAGGCCTCTGTCAGAAGTTGTTCAGCTTTGTTTCCTGTGGCTATGTTCCAATAACTATTGATATACAGTGGAATTTGAACTTCATGAATCTCCATATCAGTGTTTTGCCTTTTAAGCTGTTTCTGTTTTCAACCATAACAAACTAAAATATCGGTGTTAATTTCAGAGGTGCAAACAAAAATGACAGAGGGCCACATTTAGCTTTCAGACTACAGTTTTCCAACCCTTGACCCAGAAGAGGGCATAAGAGGTGGGATGGCACATGAGGACTTAGCGGCAGGTATGGGGTTCGCCTAGACTGGTGAGTCAGAGAATTCTAGAGAAGGGAATGTGCCCAGGCCAAGATGGGTATGGTATGCTGCCCCAGTGAGAGTGGGCCAGAAGTCCACTTGTGGCCCAGAAGGTGGCTTCAAAGGGCAGTTCCTGGGCAGTGACTTTCATATCTTAGAGACATGGAGTTTTATGAGTGGGCCCTTTATTGGTCCTGGACTGGTCAACCCTCAACCACACACACCCCACCCTGCATCTGCCACTGCAGAATTCCCTTGAAGCCTTGGCCAAGCAGACAGAGTGGCAGAGCTCAGACCTCCTCAGATACTTCCAGGAGGCCGTGCAGCTATGGGAGGCACATCAGAGTGTGCTGTTGCAGCAGGAGCTGGAGCTCGAGAAGAGGATGGAACAGTCCAGGCAGAGGCGCAATCTGGAGAACCAGGTGCCCCCAGCCCCTGGAGAACCCAGAGTGGGACTGAGGGCTGGGTCATCCCGGGACTTCCAGGTCTGATCAGGCCAGAGAACTCAGCATTTGGATGCAAACAAAACAAACAAATCCATGTAAACAAAAAAAATTAATTCAAAACAGATCCTAAACACAAATGCAAAACCTTAAGTTACAAAACATGTACCAGTGAAGATATTGAGGCTTCCCTTGATTTTGGGACCAGGTGGGAGTAGCAGAAATCTTGGACCACATCACAGCTATGTGATGGATCTTCAGAACCAGCCCTGTCTGTAAGAGAGTAGAGACAGACAGACTGAACGGGGAGCCCTCTGAATGGTCAAAATAAGGAAATGATGGGCTGGTGAGATGGCTCAGTGGTCTAAAGCACCTACTTAGAACAAGCTTAGCAAAGCACATGGACCGCGGTTCAATCCCCCAGCACCACATGCCAGCCAGCCCCGCCCCCAGGCGGGCTGAACTGGCCACACACACACACACACACACACACACATAAATAAAATAAAAATTAAAAAAAATAAGGAAATGATCAGAGCATGACTTTATGAGCCATCGTTTGCTGTCCTACAAGGAGTGTTTCAGTTCACAATATTTAAGAACAATATGAACCACCTTAGAGGGAACATACTTGATTGATGAGGATCACTGACTCCTCGGGGAGTTCCAGAATTAGTCATGTCTAGTTGTTCAAGGCAAAGGAATAAAGTCTAATGAAAGATTGATACTTTTTTATCCAAGCAGTTTCGCCAGAGAAACTGGCTTGATGCTAGCCCAGCAAGGAAGGCCCCTCCATGCTAGAGACAAGGATGACAACTTTAAAGCTCCAAGGCCGGTCCCAGCTTGAGCTCTCCTAGTCCAAATGTCAGTGAAAACTGCCGCAGCTTGAGCCTTCAAAGTGGGTGCCAAACTTTCAAGTTTACACATATATTGAAGTCCAACACTATAGGTCAGTAATTCATAAGTAGGGCCTGATAAAATGTGACATAAGGCAAGAAGGAGTAGCTCCAAGTGCTCACAAATAGGGTCTGACAAGACATCATATTCTCTAAGGCGTGAGTGGGGGAGAAGGGCAGACCCAGTTGATAACACAGCAAAGCATGTTATTTGCATAGCAGGCCGTGCAAGTGTTCAGCATGTTTTCAAAGGTATGTAATAAAGGAATAAAGTATCACCAGCCACCACAGATCAGCCTGCCCCTGCCCTCACAGGCAGGGTGGAGGGAGTTCAACCTTAGCATGTGGTTTTGAGAAAGACTCAGGAGAAGCAAGGAGAGGAGCTGGTGTGTCTGGCATGTACACTGGGCTTGGCCAGACGGGGTGAGTGTGAGGGCTGCATTCCTGAAGAGTCCCATTTGAGCTAGTTTCCAGGGGAGAAAAGTAGGCAGAAGAATAGTCCAGGCTCAGAGGAGAACCCAGAAGCCTATAGTGAAGACAGCAATAGGGACAACAGATTTATTGCCCTTCGTTTCTGCAGGACAGTGAGCCCCAGGCCTGCCCCAACTGCCTGGACCTCAGGTTCAGTGTCAGGATCTCTGTATCACTTAAACTCTGCAAGCACTGTGAACTCATATGTGCTTCTTCTTGTTTTGGGAGTGGCTTCTAGGCCCAGGAGGTACACTTTGATAAGCTCTTAGACCAACTGAGGCAGCAAAGCCGGGAAGAAACACTAAAGGCATACCTGGAAAAGGCCAAAAGCTTTCTGAAGAACATGAAATCCAGGTACATTGACCAGTTCCCCAAAGGAAAGAAGGGATGGCCTAGATTCATGTGCAGGATCACAAACAACCTCATAGGAGCCCACGGTGTGCCCAGCAAGCCAGAGATGAAACTTCCACCAGCATTGGAGAGCATCGCTGTCCTCTGCACCCTGCTTGCAGCCAGTACCAAAATATCTAGACATAATTTTGGAAGATTTTTAAGAAACAGTTTCAAGGCACTGTAGTTTAAAAGTCAAGAACTTAGACCCTTTTTTAAAATTTTTAAACATGTATGCTCTATATGAAAGTCGGCCTCTACAGAGACTTTCTCTTCATTCCTGTCCAACTGTTCTTGGAAATACTCATTTATATGTGTGGATATTTATAAATGAAGTTTGTAAAACAAGGGATAGATTATACTGTACCAATTTGTTCTGTAACTGCACATATATTTCAATTTTAAATGAGCATATGAAATTTATTAATATAGGTACCTCATAATGATTTAGTATCTTAGTTAATTAGCTTTTTCAATTGGTTCCAGTTTCTCAGGACAGTATTACAGATAGTTCTCTGTGAAAGTCCTTGTGTCTTTGTGCTTTTGTACAACTAGTTCTGTAGGACCAATTCACAGAAGTGAAATTCCACCACAGTTGATTGCAGCACTTAATTAGATCCAGAAGTAAAACTAGGGGCAAATAAGTAACCTCCTGAACCTTAGTCTCCTTACCTGAGACACATAAAATGTGGGGAGTTTGAGAATTTGTTGGGATCACCTAGGTGAAGTTCAAGCTAAAATTCCGCCAGCGGGCAAGAAAAGGAAGTATGCAATAAAATAGACAATTTTGTGTGTGTGGCTTCTAAATTTTCTACAAAAAGCATATATGATCAGAAAAATAGCAAACAAACCACAGAAAGAGACTCCCTCATAGTAGTTCTGTGTAGTGCTGATTGCCAGGTATCAGACCAACCCCTTTGTGGCAAGGGAGTAGCCATGGGCAGGGGTCTCCCACACTCTACTGAGAACCCCACTCCCACACCTCATCTTATCTCCCTCCCTCCCAGATATGAGTGCTCTCACGTCCTCCTGACCAAGGAAGTGATGGCATACCCAGAGATCATACTCAAAGAACTCAACTCCTATAGCTCCAAGCTCAGCAAGCATTTCTTCATTCGTGAAATCTTTGAACAGGTATTTAGGGGGACTTGATAGCCACAACCACTCATGAAAGAGCAGAGCTGAGGTTGATGTCTCATTGGATCTGCCAAGACACTGAAAGTCATTCCTGAGGCTGCAGGGTACAAAGCCAGGACATCAAGAAGAGAGAGGCTGAAAAGAGGCCATCTCTTCCTCCTCAGTCTAAAGGAGGTTGACAGGCAATAGGCTTTAGTGGGCTGATAGTTAAAAAGCTACTTCATATGACCCTTGGAGCTCCATGCATCATACCTACCACTGCCACACAATTGTCCTGCAATTGACTCTGACCTACTCACTCTGCTCAGAAGTCCCTCAGCAATCTTCAGTCCCCATCAAATCACAAATAGCACCCCTAGAGAACCTGTACCTTGTGCTTCTGCCTTCACTCCCCCTGGCTTAGGCAGCTCATCCCCGTTCTTGCACCTGACCCCCGCCTGTGACCCTTCCCCATCCTATTCTCTCTGCTGCTGTCTCTTCCACACAGTCCCCAGGACCCCTCTTCCCAGTCTGCTACCAGGGATAAGGAGCCCTCAGCCTGAGGAGCACTTGCCCTACCCTCTCAACACCCTCCCCCACTCCAATCTCTGAACTCACTTTTTCTTGGTTGTTGTCATCTATAGGAGTTCAGAGCACTTGACTAGAATGTCTTTCCTAAAGGACAAGTATGCCTTACTAATTTTTATTCAACTTCAGTTACCCCTAGCTGGAGTATGCATATGTTACATAACAATAAATGCTCATTGAGTAAGTACACAGTTCCCTGGAATGTACTGGTTTGAACACCCAGAGTTTGACCTCTTTCCACATGCATAGCCAGGGTCCTTCCCATCCAGACTGAAAATGCTTGCTATTGACGCTGAGTTTGGCTGAGTGCCTCTCATATATGTAGAATACCTAGTACCAACCTGGAGAATCTCTCCCTTAGGAAGGGATCCCTGTTCAAATACCTAGTAAGTGCTCCACATGGCTCTGAGAAAGAGGTGGAGGCTCAGCCTACGGGAGGGTGATGTCATTGTCTTTCTTTAATTTTAGGGAAGGGTCTACAGAGTGTTCAGAGTCTCACTACTAGATTGGACTCGTAGTGATCCACCTGTTTACAGTGCCACAAGTGCTGGGATTACAGGTGCACACCACCACGCCCAGTCTCAATTGCCATCTAAGCATTCCCCAGGGGTGGGGCCAGCATGGCAGACCCAGGGATTGAACTCCGGGCCCCTGCACCTGCTTGCAGGCACTTTAATCAACTGAGCTATTTGGCCGACCCTTTTCATTGTCTGTCCTTCGAGATCATCCTTGTTGCCTGGGTTAAAGATGTGAACATTTGTACGATCCCCATTTCACAGAATGGGGGATGAAGGGGTAAAGGATTTGCCCAAGATCACTCCATTTGTAAGGAGCTAGAACTCAAGTCTGCACCTGCCAGCTCCACAGACCACACTGTCATCCACAGTTTCACCCGGAGTGTGTGAGACAAGGGAAGTGTTGGGTAAACAGAGAAATTCCCAGAACTGTCAGGCTCTTGCTGTCCCCATCCAGGACAACAGATTCTGGCCCCTTTCTTTGCATCCTTCAAGTCATATTTTAGGACAATTGTAGGACAGTTGTGTGGCAGTGGTAGGTATGATGCATGGAGTGACAAGTGTCAAATAAAGTAGCTTTTTTTTTACTGTCAGTCCACTAACTTCTGGTGCCTATCAACCTCCATTAGACTGAGAAGAGAAAGAGACTCTGGCTATGTACGTGGAAAGAGGGTCGGACTCTGGTATTCAAACCATGCCAGGGATTTGTGTACTTACTCATAGAGCATTTATTGTATCTAAATTAAATGCATACTCCAGCTAGGGGTAAGTGAAATTGAATAAAAAAGAGATTACTAGAACAGTGGGTCAAAGTGAGATTTTGTTCCATTACTGCTCAGTGTGTTCTGTAAAGGGCACGTTAGCCTGGTTGGAATTAAGAAAAGTGAGCTCCTTGGATTAGAAACACCCCGACTACCCCAGTGAATGAAACCAGCTCAGGTTGCAAGATCTATTGAAGGGAAAGGGATTCCTTTCACTTAAAAGTGACATCCTTAGGAGTGTCACTGTGGGGAAGGGCAGCACAGGTGCCTTAGTAACTCCTGCTTTCCTCTTGTAGAACTTGCTTGGGGAAGTCACTCTTAGAGTCCAGGGGCAAGGTAAGACTTTTGCCATTCAAGTCCAACTCTCCATAACTTCATTCCTGTATCTCTCCGGGTTGGGAGTCCCCACCCAGGCAAGCTATTAACTTGTGTCTCCTTGTGCTTTGGTGCTGGTTGTGGATAGAGGGATATGAAAAGCATTCCCTGAAGAGGAAGAGGAAACCAACAAAAAAGCAAAAGGCTAAAGCAGAAATAAGAAGTGGGGAAAGTGTCAGTAAAGGGATGGATTTTGCAAGACCAACGGGAGAGATGGAAGAAGAAAAAGGTCAAGAAATGGTGTCCTCTGGAGCTGAGGAGGAGCTGAGCCAGTGGGTCAGTTCTTCACAGAGTGACCGGGTGGATGAGTCCAGAGGGCACTCTGTGCAGGCATCAGAGGAAATGCAGAGTGGAAGAGAGAGCTCCTCAGGAGCATCCCTGAGCCTGGGAAGTGTGAGAGCTCCAGAAGAGAAGGTGCTGGAGGAGGAGGAGGAGGAGGAAGAAGACGAGGAGGAAGAGGAAGAAGAGGAAATGGAGGAAAAGAAAGAAGAGGAAGCGACAAATGAGGAAGAAGCAGAGGAGGAATGGGAGAGCTCCTCTGTGGGTGAGGTAGGCCAGCGCCAGGCTCATGCCTGGGGGAGGAGAGAGTTGGCTATGTCCTTTCTATGTGGGGTCCCAGTCTCCAGAGAAGTGCATATAAGGAATGATAAAGTGTTCATCCCTTCTTACTTTTGTCAAGAAAGATCCAGTTCTTCATTCACAGCCATAATCTTCAAAATTCACTTTCCTCTCTTCCCGTCCCTGCAATGAATGCTAGTCACCTCTCAACTGCCCAGCTTTTCTCTCTCTTGGGCCACTTCATTGCTCACCTCCCCTTGTGTAATTGGCACAGGGTCTCCCTACACAGCTTGGGCTCGTAGCGACCCTCCTGTTCTTAGTCTCCCCAGCACTGGGGTTACTGGAGTGCACCACCACGCCCAGACTCGGCTCCTCTCTGTCATACACATCAACTCAGTCTCCTGCATCATCCCAGTCTTCCCTCTCCTTCCTGTTCACTAGAGCTGTAATACAAAAGATTCAGACTTGGCTGGCTTTCCTTGTGGCCCTCCTTTTTCTCTAATTTTGGTCTTCAAACTTAAAGAGAAGCTTATTGTTATTACCATACAATCTAGGCTGTTAAGCTTAACCTCACTATCTGTCTGAATATCAAACATCTTAGGCATAACATGGAACAGGTATTTTTCATCAAGTATTGATATGTTGAACTTTAAGTCCCTACAGAATATGATGAAAAACATTTTAAAAATTAAAATATATTTTAAAAATAGGCATAAAGAACTGTATAATTCTTATGTTTACATATAAGTCCATAAATCTAACCATATACAACCTTGTAGCAGAACAGTCCCGCAACATTTCTTTTCCTGTCTCCTGCCTTCATTCAACACCCCCTTCTTTTTGAACAACCATCTACCCAAGAGACAGCACAGCAGCAACTGGAATGTCATGACAAGCAGCTCGTATTCAGAAGACCAGAATGACAGGCACTCCAAGCTACTATGATAAATTGCCATCTTCAGTACAGTTGCTTAGTTCACAGGTGTCTGTATATATAGTTAGTCAGGATGAGAATCATTCCAATTAACTGCAAGATTCAAAAATCTTCTGAAGATTCTCAGGATCATTGCCTTACCCATCTTCTACATATAACTGTACGACTTGCCCCTGCCACCCCCTTCTTTTTAAACAATTATCTACCCAATGATTGTTCAAAAAGCTCTTCTCCTTGCTCTCTCTTCATTGTATAGTCCTCAAGTTCTTGCTTTCCTTTTAGTTGTATTATACCTTTCTTTTTGTATTTCTTCTTTTGAGTTCTTATACTAGGGAAACTATATGATATTTACACATGTGTGTTTCTAGTTTATTTCACTTATGAACATATCTTCAAGTGGCATCCACTTCAATATAAAGGCTTCAAGTTTATCATTCTTGATAGCTGAGTAATACTGCATTGTATAAAAATACCACATCTTTTTCATCCATTCCTCAGGTGATGGGCATCTTGGTTGTTTCCAAGATTTGGCTATCACAAATTGTGCTGTTGTAAACATAGGCACACATATATCACTATGATATGATGTTTTCAGATCTTCCGGGAAAATTCCCAGTAGAGGAATAGCTGGTTTAAATGGGATTTCTAGTCCAAGTTTTCTAAGGAGTCTCCACACTGATTTCCATAATGGTTGCACCAGTCTACATTCCCACCAGCAGTGGAGAAGGGCTCCTTTTTCCCCACAGCCTCTCCAACATTTATTGTTGGTTGACTTCTTTATGATAGCCATCCTTTCTGGGGTGAGATGATATCTCAATGTGGTTTTAATTTGCATTTCACAGATGGCTAGTGATGTGGAGAATTTTTAAATATATTTATTTGCTTCTTTAATTTCATTTTCTGAGAAGTGTGTGTTCATTTTGGAAGCTCATTTCTGGACTAGGTCTTTAAATTTTGGGGCCCTAGTGTTTTTTAGTTCCTTATAAATTCTAGAGAGCAGACCTTTGTCTGAGTACTTGTTTGTGAAGATTTTTTTGAAATTTGTGGGTTATTTTTTCACTTTGTTGGTAATTTCTTTTGACATGCAAAAACTTCTCAATGTTGGCAAGGAAAGCCAACATTTTGACCCAAGCCTTCTAAGGTCAATTAAGACTCAGGACACTTATGAACCTGTCATGCAACTCAGTAGTGTCCCAAATTTTCTGATCAAGGAGATTATGGGGCCAAAGAGGAAAGTGATTGATGATGTAGAGTCACATGAAGAAGAGTCACATGGAGAGAAAACATTCTCTCTGGCTTTCACAGGGAGCACATTGGCCAAGGAACGGCTGTGACTCATCCACATGGCTGACACTGACAAAGGATCTACAATCTGAGGTACAGGCTCTCAGGATAAATCCTGAGGAGATTTCACTGACCTTATCAGATCCAAAAGCTACAACTCTTGTTGCATAGGTCCTGCTTTACCTTGGTCTTGGCCATCCAGCAGAAAAGTATAAAAACGAAGTTTTGTTGTTATGTTGAACTGTAGCCTTGTTGTTATGTTAAGCTGTAGTGGACTCAGGTCAACAATTTCTGACATTGCCAGTCAAGCAGAAGACCCAATACTATTATGGATTACTGGACTCTTTTAGAATATTTTGCTGAGTTAACACACCTATAATATTCAAATGATGGATCTCAACAAAAAAAGGGGATACAGATGAATGTTCATTTTGTATCTGTGTATTCAAAGTGGTTAGGATAGATATATAATTACATTCTCTTAATGAACAGAGGGATTTGTTCTAATAGTGTATATAAATAGGATATCATGTCTGCATCTTGTACAGCAAATAACCACTAGGAAGAGAGTATGCAATGTGTTAATTATTGAAACTGTCCTACCAATTTGATTTAAAACTGTCTCATTGCTATTTGTCTCTCAATATAATTATGGAAAAAAAGACTTGGCTGTCTTTTGAGTGCTGGACGGTAACTCATATAAGCAGACCTTGTTCTTATAATACATTCAAACTCACAAAATAATAACTTAAATTCCATAATTATAGAATATCTGCATTGTTGTGGAAGCATTGGTCTATGAAACTCCTGTTTGAGCAGGGACCCAAAACTTAAACACCCACAGATGTAACAGAAGAGAGGGCTGAAGGGCAAGTATAAAATAATGACAAGTGACTCTGATTGTACAGCCAACCACTTTTCAGCCCCAGCTAAAAATGCCACATGGGGGTACCAGCTCAGAATTGCTAGCTTTTCTGATATTCTTTAGAAAAACTGGGAATCCAAAATTTTATGTAAGGGGGGCCGGGGAGATGGCTCAGTAGAATAAGTGCTTCCCTGGCAAGTGCAAGGACCTGAGTTCAATCCCCAGTTCTGGAAAAAAAATTATGTAGAACTTGTCACTTTTAAAGGGTCTGTGGAGTGGAGCTTAGGGGAACAGTTCCAAGCAAGATTTGCCCCACAGATTTACAGTCTTTTATTGCCAAGTGTCAGCATTGCAAGTTCATTTAATGGTACTCACCCAAGTCTTGTTATCTGCTTAGGCAGAAACTCAAGAAGAAAGCATGGAGGAGACAATCTATGAGGAGATGGAGTCCTTCACAACGTCCAGTGGAAATACTTATTTTGTCCTCTTATCTCTGGAAAACGAGGAGAGTTGCAAGAGGCCCCCTTCTAATTGCTCGGCCATACTCATCAACAAGGCCTCCAGCAATAAGTTCATAGAACAAGTAATAATTCCATCCGGACTAATTTTAGAAATTAAGAAACAGTGAGTACAAAATTCTTGTATTCTCCTTCATTTGCTCTGCGCTATATTCACAAGATAAATTACAATAAAAAATTAATTTGGGCTGGGAAAAAATATAAATGTAGATGATATGGTTCGTGTCTAGATGTTCCCCCAAAGCCTCGTGCAGTGACAGGGTTTTGTTGGAGTGACTGAATCTAGTATGTGTGGTAGATTTGTAGCGCAATGCTGGTGTGAAGGGTGGGTGATTGCTAGATCAGTCCACATTGGCTTGGCACCACCCTAATCCTGGTAGACTGAATACAATATAAGGAACAGAAAGAGGTTTGTCTCTTTCCATGTTTTTTTTTCTTCTGCTTCTGCTGCCACAAACTGCTGCCCCTCTGCCATGTACCACCCTGCTTTAGAGCCAGCTGATTATGGACTGAAACCTCTTCAAACTGAGCTAAAGAGCCCTTTAACTTTGGGTGTCAGGTATTTTGTCTCAGCAATGAGAAAAGTAATTACGATAGTAGATAATTCGCGAAATAACAAATATCCCGGAATTAGTTGTAGTCATTAGTACCCTGGGTGAGAGTTCCCCCTGCACCCCTCCCAGGGTGCTCTGCTGGTATGGCCCTTGCACACTAAAACACTTTTTTCACTGCCAGATGCTCCAGGGTTCTGGTTCTTGGCATCTGTTATCTTAGTTTTTCTTTTCTTTTTTTATGTTTTTATTTCTATAGATGTAAATCACATCATGTATAGAATTTTGCACTAGTTGATATACTTGTCGCAGAAAATAGAAAAAGAACAATGAAGAATAAAGATGTGGTCCATAATCATATCTGGAGCATTTCTCTCCCCTAACTCCCAAGCTGCTGGACCTTTTCTTACAGTTTAGGTCAAACATGGAAATTTTCATTTGACATTTGAATGGCATTTTCAATGCCCTTCTGCCACTGAGAGAATTAATTGGCTCATGATCACCTTGTCGGTCCACCATGGGCAGGAAGCCAGAGGCAAGGAGCAGAAGGATTAAGATCTAGCCTCTGGGCTCTTTCTCCTATACCTCAGCGTCATCTCACTACTAAAGTATCTCTTGACTCTAGTACCCTTCTCCTTTCTCTACCATAGGCCATGCTTATTCCTCCCAAAGCCCTTAGGACAAAGATCAGCAAAGGTCCCCCACAAGGACTGCTATTTATTGAGCGTAACCCCCTCACTATGAATTAACTCCATTTGATAAAATGAAGGAACGGAAGCTCAGAGTGTTGAGTCATTTGGCTGTGGCCTCCAAAATAAGAAGATTCAGGCTGGGGAGATAGCTCAGAGGTCTAAGGGCCTGCCTGGCAAGCACAAGGACTGGGGGTCAATCCCCAGTATGGGTACCACATGCTGTGCTGAGCTTGGGACCCCCGTGCGCTGGGGAGGCTGAGACAGGAGGATCACTCAAGTCCGAGCTGTGTAGTGAGACCCTGTACCAAATAATTGATTAACTAATTTAAAAACTAAGAAGATTGGATCCAACCTCTGAATCTAGACCCTATAATTCTAGAACATGGCATCAACTACTATGCCAGCTGACACTGTTTCTATGTTGAAATAAAACATACATACTTAAAAGTATGGAAATCCAGTGTTTAGCATTTGAATTGTCCAAAGAGAACACATCTGGTACTTAGAACCCATAAGAAACAGAACCATTAACCACTCCTCCAAGATGCCACCTGATGTGACCATCCACAGTAACTGCCCTTCTTTCCCTAGGGATAAATACTCTGACTGCTGAGTTCATTTTGTGTGGCTTTGAACTTTACTTAACAATATTCAGAACTCACTCTTTTATGATAGGATTCTTTCACATTTGTAAGATTCATATATATTCTTGAACACGGCTATATTCTTTTTAATTTTTCTGTGGTATCTTGTTGTGGAAATATACAATCTATTTAATTGTATTTATCCACACTACTGATGCACATTTTGATCTTTTCAAATTTGAAAGTATGCCAAAATAATGTTGCTCTGAATATTCTTGTAGAAGTTTTTGGGTGAACATACATGTACATTCCTGTTTCTCATTTAACTAAGAATGAATCAACTAGTTGTTGAATCATGGAATATGTTCATGTCCATCTTTAGGAGGTATAATCAAAAGATACTACCAAAGAGTTTTGAAAAGCAGTTTGACAGTTTGCAACACTGAGAGTCCTAGTTGGTCCAGATCTTCAACAACAATTGATGTTGTCAATGATTTTTAGTTTAGTCAACCCAGTGTAATTTTAGCAGGTCCTGTTGTGGGATTACTTTGCCTTTTCCTGATGAGTAATGATATTGATGTGGTGCACCTTTTCATATACTTGTTGGCCATTTGGGTATTTTTTTAGTTCTGTGTGTGTGTGTGAGTGTGTGTGACTATGATGTCTAGTGAAATCTTTTGTCCATTCTAGTAGATTGTCTGTCTTTTTACTAATTCATGTGAGTTCATTACATTACCCATATGAAGCTTTTGTTTGATAAATATGTGACAAATGTTCATCCCCTCTCTGGGCTTGCCATTTTTTATTCTGTGTAAAGGCATCTTTTGATAAACAGAGATTCCTATTCTTTTATTCATTGGTTTATGTCATGTACAGTATATTTTTAAAATGTGAGTAAACTTAGAATATATTAGTAGAACATGACTCCTGAGAGAGAAATTCTTATTTTTAATAAGGTCCAACTTGTCAGTTCTCTCATTAGAATAAGTTTACTTTGTGTTTGGTCTTTAATTTCTCCTTTTGCTTTCCAAAGGTCATGAAAATGTTCTCCAATATTACATATTTGAAATGTTATTATTTTAAACTTACATGTTTAGATCTAAAAGGCCACTTGGAACTGATTTTTGTTTAAGATGTGGTACAGTGCAGAGCTTCATTTCTCCCCCATACAGAGCATGAGGGGAGCCTCGGTCACTCACTGCTGTGCCGCCTTTTCTTCTACTGCTGCCTTGTTCCATCTCTGTGTGTCTGCCCTTGAGCAGCTACCTCACACTGACTGATCACTGCAGCGCTGTGCTGTCTTCGTATCCGACAGTTTTGACCTCCAAGACTGTCTTCGCCATTCTTAACCCTTCATATTTTATGGAAATGTCAAAAACGACTCAGCAGCTGCCATAAAAAGACTCCTACTGAGGGGTTTTTTGTTGTTGTTGCTATTTTGGGGGGAACTAACATCTTTTAAAAAGCATGTATTTTTTAAAGGATGACAAGCTAAGTTAGAAAACAATATTTGCAACTCACATCAAAGCCAATGGGCTTCATGCAGAGAATAATACCAAAAAAAGCAACTATATAATAGAGAAAGGACAAAAGATATTAGGGAATGATATACAGAAGAAGAAATTGAATGTATGAAAATATGCTCCATAAAAATATAACAAAATTGTCAAATTCAAAAATGTGACAAAATATTCTGAGGCTGTGAAGAAAAAGAAACTAGTATTCTTTACTTATGGGATTACGGGTTGCCCTCCAGTGGAAAAAATTTGGCTGTAGCTACCAGGACCACAAATGTATTTTAACTTTTGACTCAGCAAATCAAATTCAGGGCCAAATCCCATAGAAACACCTCTGTACTTAGCAAAAGTACAAAGCTATTCATCCAATCCTTCTTTGTAAAAACAAAAGTTCGACACCACCTGAAGTCCTCCAGGGGTGACCTGGGTAGATGACTGGTTGTCCCTCTTCCAGGATGAGATGCAAGATAACTAGGGAACAAAATGAGGAAGTATGTATGAAGAGGGGAAGTACCTTGAGGCTTAGTGTAGGAAGGTCTCCTACAGCTTACAGTTCCTGGCAGGGCTGACCTTTGCTGCTTTCTCCTCCAGACTTCGAGCTGGCTTTTTTGAACACCTTGAGAAGTGGTTTGCTCAGTGTGCCTTCAACACACAGGCGATCGTGGCCAGCAAGATCAGTGAACTGGATTCAGAACTGGAGCTGTGTCTACACCTGCACAATCCAAGAGTCGAGCACATAGAGAAGGACATCCACAACGTCAGGGCAGGTGTGGGCCCTACTTAGGAAGCCCATCCCACCAGTCTTCTCTTGCAGGACCTGATCCTTTTGTAGCCTCATGTTTGTTAGCTGCCCCCAAAATGCTTTGCATATTACCATCGCAGGTGAAAGATGTATCTGAGTACTGGTACTTCCTAGGCTTGCACAGAAGGTAGTACTCAGATTCTTCATTTGGGACTTTTAAAACTGCCTTCCTTTTTTTAAAAAAAAGAGGGTGTTAGAGTACAAAATGGTCATCATCTAGTTTTACCTCCAGATTTGAGATCAGATATATACCCTTATGCTGGTTGCTTCAGAGGCAATATTGTTCGGAGACGAGATCCTGAGGCTCAACTCTAGCTGTGTAACTCTGATCATGTTACCTGACCTCTCCATCCCTCCTTACCTGTAGAAAGGGGAGTTAGGTGCGGTAATTAACCCTCCTGAAATGTTATAGTGATGAATCATGAGCCTCTGATACAAGACACAGCCTCCCAAAGCAGTAACCATTATCTCCACCTTACCATTTATCATACTTAAAAAGACATGTCATTTCTGTCTTAGGTGGTAGGCTCCACTCACTAGGGGAGGGGAATGATTTTAGTAGGAGCTTTCAGTGATTCCTGTTTGAATCATGCTCTAATGTCTGCCATAGAGCTACAGTCCCCTTTAGAGGTAGCAGACAGCCCACTAATCCAAACGCCCAGAGCAGTGAAAGTTGTACAGTCAAACTGGCCTCAAACACCAATGCTTGTAACCTTGAGCAATTTGCCTGACATGTGGAACCTCTTCAGCACATTTGCCTGACATTCTGAAGCTCTTTAATGCATTAAATGCACCAAAGAATTAGGGGAAACCTGCACATGCATTGAGCAAAAGCTCCCTGGAGGCTGCTTCTTTTTCCTTCTCCCACTCCTTGGTCCAGGATATAGTATAGAAACCAACCAGGCTAGAAAGATGAATTCTAGTATCACACCATTTTTTTTTTTTTTTTTTTTTTTGGCAGTGCTGAGATTATAGCACTTCTACTGCCACAGACAACGGGGAGCCAGAGGCTCTCTACTTGCCCCAAAAGGCTGTGGTGGGGCTATGGAAGACCAATCTTTGTTCTTTCTGTTACATCTTGGAATTCAGTTAGAACCCAGGCTCACTTGACATGAGAACCCATTGATGCAAGAAGCAAACTCAGGCTGCTTGACCATATGCTGCTTGTTGCTGAAGCACAAAGAGCCTCTCACTCAGGTCTGAGTCTCCTCCTGCACCATCCTTTCACACCTGCTCCCTGGAGACTGTGCATCTCCCCATCTTTTATCTGTCTGCAGCAGGCAGGGGTCTTTCTCAGCAGAAAGCACCCTGCTCATAAGCTAACAGAGCCTTCTCTCTACTGAGAGACCTGGGACAGGCTCTGATTGCTGTCTCTGAGGTCACAGCCCATTCCCAGTCCAGTGACGGTGGTGGTGTCAGGGTAAGAGCTGTTGACTTGAGTCATCCCTGCTCTGTAGCTGGCCTGGGAGAGGCAGTGGGTGGGCACGTTTGTAAGAAAGGACTGTGCAGAGACAAGTGAGCTCCTGAAGGGCTTCAGCTCTCCTCATTCTCTTTCAGCTGAACTCTTGCTTCACAAAGAACGGTTGGATAGCCACTGCGCTGGAGTGGCGGAGACACTGAAGAAAGAGAGGCTGATGTTCTGCCAATTCCAAGAAGAGCAAAACACTAAAAGCAAAAACTTTCACCGCAAGATCCACGATATGGAGCACATCTTTCTAAATGCCACCAAGAGCCAAAAGTAAGGGGCCAGGGGTCCCCGGCCACATGGTCCTCTTAGAAGCCTATATAGGCTGCTGCTAGCAAAAGAGCAAAAGGCACTCCAGAGCCTGCTTTTGAGCTAAGTTCTTCACGAGAATCTAGACTCAAAATCTGTGGACAACCTCCAGTGTATGTGTTGGGGGGATCAGTGAGCAGCCAAGGAGGAGACTCCTTACTCACAATCAGTACCAAGAGTGCAGACAATGTGTCCTGAAATGACATCAGCGGCAGGAAAGACCCCTCCTCCTCTGGGGAACCAGGAAGACTTCCTGCAGGAGGTGGTATTTGCCGTGAGCCCAGAGGCACCCTGATTTGAGGTGGAGGAAGATGGGACAGATAAGTTTTCCAAGCAGAGAAGGAGCACTGGCTGAGCTGTTGCTCCCTGGGGTATAAGACAGCAGCCACAGTCAGGTCACAGGGAAGACCCTGGCAGACATCTGTGCAGCTGTCAGGCACACAAGGGACACCTATTCAGGAAAATATGGCTGCGAAGAGGAAGCTTGCAGGGTACTCTTTCAGGAAAGTGGGGAAACACGTTACTGGGGTCCAAGTCTGCTGGAGGAAGAGTAAGAAAATTCAGTTGTACCTAGAATTCCTCTACCAGCTTGGTGGAAGTGGTCAGAGGGAGGAGAGCAGTGTCCGCTTAGTCACACATGATCATTTTAAATTTCTGTCCGTGCCTTTTGCTACCCAGAGAATCTGGGCAGTGGTTCTGTTGGGCCCCCAGCTTGGGAGTGTGTGCGGCGCTCAAGCAGTCTCCTGGGAAGTCCACCCAGACCCCACTCACCACCCAGCCTCTCCTGTCTCCCCTGCTGACCAGCATCACCTTCTGCTCCTCTCCCCACCACCCCACCCCAGGCTGGTCGTTCTCAGCAGCACACTGCACCGGAGGCTGCTCAGCTACGTGGATGTCACCCAGGTGTCCCTACGAAGTTTTCGACAGTACTTGGAGGAAAGCCTGGGCAAACTCCGCTACACCAACATTGAATTTGTCCAGCACTGCAGGTGGGAGCTAGGACTCGGGCCTCAGAGCCACCAAGGTTTTTCTACTGGGAGGTGATCTTATTGCTCCCTTAACTTTTCATTGTCAGACATGTACAAAACATGAAATTTACCTTTTGGACCCTTCAGATACACAGTTTAGTGCCATTTGGTACCACATTGTGCTACCATCACCACCCAGCCACCTCTAACAGAACTCCTAGCTTCATGTCATTATATGCTGACTTCTCATCACCCCAGCCCAGGCAACCCCACTTTACCTTCTGTTTGCATGAACTGATCTAGTCATAGATTATGACTTGTTTAAAAACTTGTTTTTTGTTTGTTTGTTTGTTTGTTTGGGTTTGAGTTTTTTGTTGTTGTTGTTTTTGTTTTTGTTTTTTTTTTGGTTTTGTTTTGTTTTGTTTTGTTTTGTTTTGTTTTGTTTTGCAGAACCGGAGATTGAACCTGCCTTTGCGCTTTCCAGGCAAGCACTTACTCTACTGAGCTATCTCCCTGGAGCCATTAATTTTTCAGCTATTACTTGTTGTTTTTTTTTTCTTTTTGGCGGAACCAGGGATTAAACTTAGGCCTTTGCGCTTACCAGGCAAGCGCTTATTCTACTGAGCCATCTCCCCGGCCTTGCAAGTACCTGTTTTAAGAGGAATCATATCAATATTTGTCCTTCTATAGCTGGTTATTTCATTGAGCACATATAATGCCTTAAAGGTCCGCCCAGGTTGTATCATGTATCACAACTGTCTTTCTGTTCAAAGATGAATAATATTCCATTGTGCATATGTACCACACATTGTCCATTTGCATACTAATGGGCAGTTGGGGTCTTCTCACCTTTAGACTATTGTCAATAATGGTGCGAGGAGCATTGGGGTGTAAACATTCTGCCTATGGCCCTGCTTTCAGCTCCTTGTGGCATGTTCCTGGAAGTAGAACAGCTGGCCCAGATGGCAAGTTCTCAAGTTTTATGGAGCCCTCATCCTGTTTTCCATGAGCACAGTCACCATTTTACATTCACACCAGCAATGCACAAGGGTTCTAATTTCTCTACATCTTTACCCACACTCACTATTTTATTTGTTTCTATTGTAATTATTTTAACAGTCATGAGGTAGTATCATACTGTCGTTTTTATTTGTATTACTCTGGTGATTAATGTAAAGGCTACATTTGGGGAGCTTTTTCAAAAGCTTATATTGTTTTAGAAGTTAAAAATCTTTTACTCATTATGCCATAATTGAACACAAGAATATGCAAAGTAAAAATAGGAAGCCCTCCTTAAATAAATTTACTATGTGTCATACATAAGCCAAAAATTGTTAGTCTTATAAAGAAATGGAATCCTAGGGTACATGTTGAATATCAGCCCTCACCACTGCCAGCAAACACCTATGTTGGTACCTGCAAAACTTGCATGTGTTTTAAATATTACCAACATTTTCTAATTATAATGCAGTTTTTTAAAAAATTAAAATTTGGAAAGTTGCACTAAGCTCAGCATTTGGCATATGCAAGGCATCTCTTCATATCTCTCTGTCACTCTAGCATAGCACACTGCAGCTTCATTCTGCTTGATTTCTTCTTTTCGTTTTTGCTAGTCACTGATTCTCTTCATTACTGTGTTTAATTTCCTGACAAATCTATTCATTGAAGTTATTTAATCTTAATTATCATAGTGTCCATTTTTATTTGTATTTGATTCTTTTCCCAAACTGGTTGTTTCTTATGCATATTTTTTACCTTCTCATTTATTGCCTTAAACATCTTATACTTTATCATTTTATAATTTATGTCACATAATTCTAAAGTTTGAGGACTTTAGGGGGGCACTGCTAAACTAGCCCCTGTTTCTTTTTTTGTTCTCAATCATGGCATCGTGCTTTCTTGTGATTTCTTTTTTATTATGAGTCTCTCATTTTCCTTCATATTTTATTGTGGCATTCCCTGAGGCCTAGACTCACATGGAGTTCCTTCAGTGAAAATTCTTGTTTCTGCTGTGTAGCTGAACTCATTACCAATTTAGGACCAATGAAAAAATCTACTTATGTGAGATTTCTGAGAAGATGACAGAGTGGTAAACAACGGAGAAAGAGTCTCTCTGAAATTTGCTGTTCACACACTAGAATATAGCAACTCAAGGGAGACAAAAAGGTAGAGAGCAAGTCCCCTGGACTGAGGAAGAATTTGAAGTGAGAACTGAAGCCCATGGGGAAAGTGAAGAGAAAAACTTCAATATAGAAGAAGAAGGTAGCTCCCTGATCTGGAACTCACTGTGTGGGAAGAGCAGTTCAAACCTGCAGACACTCAGTGACCGCTAGCAACCCCAGAGGCTACCACAGAGAGGAACAGCAGTGGAAAGCACAGTGGGCGTGAAAGACGGCCTCAGATGGTGCTGAGTGCCAGAGCATCAAATGTCTTGCAGTAGAGGGCAAATGGCCAGGAGCCACTTGGAGAGGGCCACCTGAGCTCAGAACTCAGAACAACTGCTGGGGCTTTCTAATAGCTCCTAGTCGAGTTCAAGCCTGAAGAAGATACATGGACTGCTGCAGGCTGAACAGGTTGGTTCCCAGCTTCACATGCAGAAATCAGCCTGAACTTCAGAGGAAATAAAAGTGCAGCCTTGCTGAGATTATCTACCACCCTGCTGTAAAGCAACTTCTGGCTTGCTAGGATAAAATCATCATGGATCTGGACTCTGTCTCCACACATTGTCTACCATGACAGCAGAGACAAATCTTGAAGTAGAAATTTTTCTTCTCTCTCTCTTTTCTTGGGTTTTTTGTTTTGCTTCTGTTTTTCCTTTAATATTTGATCTTGTTTTTATATGAGTATGAATGTGGTTTCTAGTTTTTCTGTGGTTGTTGTTCTGTTCTGTTCTTCCTTTCATCTCTTATTTCTCTCTTTCTTTCCTATCTTCTGCACCAGTTTCTCAAAGCTTGAATAATTGTCTTTTGTCCTCCAGCCTTGCTTTTAATTTCCTCTTCTTCTTTTATTTCTCTATTTTTCCCCTAACAAAAGCAATTCAAAAATATAACCAGGAGGCTAAAAATTCCATTGAAAGTATCCATAGCAGAATAAAACAATTTGGAGACAGTATCTCAGACATAGAAAATTGGCTTGTGGGGCTGAGGAGATAGCTCAGTGGTCTAAGGGCCTGCCCAGCAAGCACAAGGACCCAGGTTCAATCCCTAGTACTACATGCCGTGCCAGCCCCAGAACCTCTGACACCCAGCCAGCCACTAAAATCAGGGATGGTGGCATAAGCCTGTAATCCCAGCACTGGAGAGGCTGAGACAGGCAGATCACTATGATTCTTAAAATCACTATGATTCTTAAAATCACTATGATTCTAAGCTGTGTAGTGAGACCCTGTACCAAATACATAAATAAATAAAAGACTAAGGAGGAGGAGGAGAAAATAGGCTTGTGATTAGTGATCATGAAAAGAAGACTTTCTTATTAGTAAGGAACCAAGAAATCAATCAAGCAGCTTCTAGGTGATGCAACAAAGATAACATAACATTGATGGAAGCAAGCAAAAAAGCAGGAGATAGCACAAATGATATAAAATGAGATGATGTCATTACAGAAAACTTCTCTGACAGGGAAAAAGAATTTGGTGCACAGATAAGTGAGGCATAGAGAAATCCAATTAGCCATGACACAAAAAGAAAAAATCTACAGCAAGGCATTTCATAGACAAGATTCCAGAAATTCAACACAAGGATAAAAATGCGAAAAGCTGTTAGAGAAAAGAAACAAATCATCAATAAAGGAAAGCCCATCAAACTCACAGCTGACTTCTCAACACAAACCCTCAAGAGAAAGCTTGGAGTGAAATATTTTAAAACCCTAAAAGAAAACAACCCTCCAATCCAGGCTGACGTAACCCACCAAACTAACTTTCATAAATGATGGAGAAACAGGATACTTCCATGACAAAGAGGGCATGAGGAAATCCATGAACACCAAACCAGCTTTCCAAAATGTTCTGAAGAACATTCTAGGAAAAGATAACAAGGACTACATTTCCAAGAACCTCAGCAGAAGAAATCCACCAGGCATGGCAAGCAATTAAACAGAGGGGCAGAGGGGAGAAAAGAAAGAGCTAACAATAGGAAAATCAGTATATATGAATTATAGCCATCGAAGTTAATGATCTTGATTCACCAATCCAAAGATGCAGACCAGAAGAATGGATTAAGAAGAAAGATCTGACAATATCCTCCATACAAGAAACACATTTAATCCATAAATAAATTTGTAGGTTGAGAGCCAAAGGATAGAAAACAATACTTCATGCTACAAGATCCTGGAAAAAAGCAGAGACAGTGATTCTATTTGCAGACAAAGTGGATCAAGCCAAGACTGTTTAAGAGAGACAAAGAAGGTCACTACCTCCTTGTAAAGGAGGCAGTCCAATAGGATGAGATAACAATCATAATATATATGTAACAATATAGATGTAATATATCAAATGCACTCAACTATATAAAACAAATATTAACAGATATGAAAAATCAGTTAAGCATTAATACAATTGGATTGGGGGATCTTAATGCTTGACCATCACAAATAAATAGATCCATTAGATAAAAAAGATCAATAATTAAATATTAGAACTGAACCAAACTTTTGAATAAATGGGATTAGTAAATGTCTTTAGAATGTTCCATCTCTGCAACATCAGAATACACATTCTTCTCAGCTGCACACAGAACGTTCTCCAAAATAAGCCACACATGAGCTCATAGAAATGATTAAATAAATATGAAGGAATTGAAGTTGTCCCATGTATATTACCAGACCATCGTGCAACGAAGATAGAAATCAATGGAAGAAGAAACCACAAGAACTTCATAAACATATGATCATTAAATAACACCTTCCTAAACAACCAACTGATCACAAATGAAATTAAATAAGAAATTAGACAGTTTCTGTGATTACACTATACTGACAATACAACATACTGAATTTATGGGACATAATGAAAGCAGTCCTATGAAGGAAATTTATAGCAGTGAATATCCATATGAGGAAAACAGAACAAGCTCAAATAAATAATGTTGAACCTTAAACTTCTTGAAAAAAGAATAGGCCAAGTCAAAAGCTTGTATAAGGTATGAAATTATAATGATCCGAGCACAAATTAATGCAGTGGAGACTAGGAAAACAATGCAAAGAGTTGAGTCAATGAATCAAAGAGTTGGTTCTTTGAAAGATTGAATAAAATCAACAACCCCTTATCCAGCCTTATAAAAGAAAAAGAAAGAAAGAAAGAAAGAAAGAAAGAAAGAAAGAAAGAAAGAAAGAAAGAAAGAAAGAAAAAAAGAAAGAAAAAAAGAAAGAAAAAAAGAGAAAGAACTCAATTCCATCCAATTGGGAATGAAAAGGGTGAAATCACGATGGACCTGCAGAAATCCAGAATATAATTTACACCTACTTTAAGAACTTGTATTGAGATGGAAAATGTGAAAGAAATGGACAGATTCCTAAATACAGACTCCTAGGTAATTTAGTATGAATTACCAAAGCTGAATCAAGAAGATACAGAAATACTAAATAAGCTGGTATCAGTCAATGAAATTGAAATTAATTAAAAACCTACCAGCAAAGAAAAGCTCAGGCCCTGACAGATTCATGTTGGATTCTACAAGAAATTTATAGGTGACGGAATACCACTGCTTCTCAAACTCTTTAATGAAATTGAAAGGAAAACAATAATAAACTCCCAAATTTATTCCTAGAAATTAAAAGGAAAACAATAATAAACTCCCAAATTTATTCCTAGAAGTAAGAATTACCCTGATACTGAAACTAGAGAAGGACCCAACTAAGAAACAGAACCACATGCCAGTTTCCCTAATGAACATAAATGCAGAAGTCCTCAGTAAGACTGGCAAGTAGAATGCAGCAAATCATCACAAAGATTATATGCCATGACCAAGTGGGGTTTATCCTATGGATGCAGCGATGCTTCAACATATACAAATAAAGGCTGGGGATATAGCTCAGAGGCATAAGTGCCTACCTGGCAAGCACGAGGCCCAAAGTTCAATCTCCAAGACCACAAAAAAGTCAAATATCTACTAATCAGTGCATGTAATATACCATATTAACAAAGCCAAGGATAAGAGACATGATTATCTCAATAGATGTGGAAAAAGTTTTTGATAATATCTAGAACTCATTTATGATAAAAACCCTGAAAATTGGAAGAGATGGTTTTTGTTTCAATCTGATGAAAGCTATCTATCACAAACCAACAGCCAACATCACACTAAATGAGCAAAGACTTTCACTCTAAAATCAGGAACAAGAAAAGAATGTCCACTGTAAACACTCTTACTCAATATAGTTGTGGAAACTTTAGCCAGAGCAATTAGACAAGAGAAAGAAATAAAAGGAATAACAATAGGAAAGGAAGAAGTTAAATTGTCATTATTTGTGGATGGCATGATACTCAATATAGAAGACCCAAAAACTGCGCTAGAAGATTTCTAGATTTATAATCAAAGTCAACTGCCTAGCTGAATACCATCAACATTCAAAAGTCAATAACCTTCTTTTACATAAATAACTAACTTACTATGAGATAAATTAGGGATACAACATCTTTCACAATAGCATCCAAAATAAAATTGAAACGTGTAGGAATCAATCTAATGAAAGAAGTAAAAGACTTCTATGTTGAAAACTACAGTACTTTGATAAAGGATATCAGAAAATGGAAAGATGATCCTTGTTCTTGGGTAGAAAGAACCAACATAGTAAAAATGGCCATAATTCTACAATTGTTATACAGATTTAATCTAATTCTAATCAAAATTCCAGCAGCATATCTCATTGAATTAGAGAAAACAATCCTAAAATTCATTGGGAACCAGAAGAGACCTAGAATAGCAGCTGCAGATCTGGGAACAAAGGCAAGGCGGGGGCATCACAATTTCAGACCTAAAACTATATTACAAAGATACTGTAATAAAAAACATTGTACTGGCAATAAAACAGACCCAATGATCAATGGAATAGATTAGAAGATACAGAAACAACTCCAAACATACTTAACCACCTTATCTTTGACAAAGGTGCCAAACACATTCAGTGAAAAAAAGAGACTTTTATTAAATGGTGCTGGAAAAACTGCTTTGCATATGCTGAAGATTAAAATCAGACCTATGTCTTTCACTATCTAAACTCCAACAAAAAGAGATCAAAGATCTAATTATTAAAACAGAAACATTAAACGTGCTGGAAGATAGGATAGGTAGAACTCTTGAAGACACTGGTGTAGGCAAAGACTCTAAGAACAAAGCCCCTACCACTCAGGAACTATCACAAAGAATCAACTGGGATCTCATCTTAATAAAAAACTTTGCACAGTAAAAGAAACCACCAACAAAATGAAAGGGCAACTCCCAATGTTGGAAAAAAAAAGTTGTCAGCTGTTCCTCAGATCAAGTTATCCTTGATAATAGGAAGTATTATCTTTTTAAAAAACTCTTCACAGCTTTGCACAGTGGCAGTGTTGTAGCCAATGAGGTTTATCTGAGGTGTGATTATTGCTAATTGAAAACTATCAAGAATATATAAAGAACTTAAAAAGCCAGAGCCCACCACCACCAAATGTAAAGACCCAACACAAAAATGGGCGTCTGAGATGAAGACACACTTCCCCTGTGAAGTAGAAAGAGCAAATAATTATGTTAATAAAATGTTCGACATTGCTGGTCACTGGAGAGATGCAAATGGAAACATCACTGAGGTTCCATTTCAGCCCCACAAGGAATGGGTATTGTTAAGAAATCAACAAATAATAATGCTGGCAGAGCTGTGGGAGGAAAGACACCCTTTTCCATTGTTGGTGGGAGTGTAGACTGGTGCAACCACTGTGGAAATCAGCGTGGGGATTCCTCAAAAACTAAGACTAGAGGTTCCATGCCACCCATCTATTCACCCCCTTGGTATTTTCCCAAAGCATTATACCACAGTGATATATGAACACCCATGGTTATGTTATAGAGGCACAGCGTATAATAGCCAAATTTTATAAAAAGCCCAAATGCCCATCAACTTGTGAAAGAAAATGTGGTTTTCTCCTCCGGTGGAGTACTACTGTGCCATAAAGAAGGATAACCTTAAGACATTTATAGCTAAACAGACGCACCTTGAGACCACACCATACATTTCATACAGTGAAATGAATCAGACACCAATATGTAAATATCACATTGTTTGTCTGGTATGAAAAGCCAAAAGTGTGAATGACCAAAATGTATAATAAATATTGTGAACTAAGATGAAAATGTTCAAAGGAGGAGGGAAATAAGGGAGGGTCAAGGAAGAAAAGAATGAAAGGACAAATTTTTTAAAAATGAAAAAAGGGAACAAGATTCTGCTTGAGGTGTTTTTGATCCCTCTGTAGAGCGTGAGTCCAGCTGATAGGTGTGCATGGAGCAAGTCTGTGATGACAAAATCTCCGGTCAGAGCGAGCTTTCTGTCCTCCCTGCCCCCAGGGCTAGACCAGTCAGTGACCTCATATTTAGTAGGATTCATTTAGTCTTGCAATCTCGTTCCCAAAGGATCAGCTTTGGAGTCCAGCTCCATGCTGTCCCCTCCCCCGTGCAGCCATCAAAACTCAGAGTTTATGGGCACATCTCAGCAGCACAGCCCACCTATGAGCCCAGGGGATGTTTCACCCTGATCTGCATCTGGAGACCCCATAGAATTCCCCTTTTTTTATGTATTTAGTACGGGGTCTCACTTCACAGATGGACTCGTACTGATCCTCCCTGTTTTTCAGCCTCCCAAGTGCTGTGATTACAGCCCAGTCTCATTCACTGTCTCAGCGCGACCCAGGGGAGGGGCCGGCACGGCAGGCCGGGAATCGTACCCCAAGCCCCTGAGTCTGCCTAAGCAGGCGCTTTAGTCCGCTGAGCTATCTGGCTGGCCCTACACGGAATTCTTATCCTCATGTAGTTTTCAGGAAACCATGCCACCGTTAATTTCACCCACCATTTCGTTTTTTTCACCTAGGTCTGTCAGCATACTCATTAATATGTGCTCCTGCATTTGCACTACCTGCGTTTATTTTTCCACCATCTTTTTCAGTCCCAAGCTGAGATGGAAATTGTGTTCTTCACCACACAGTGTTTGGGAAGGGTGAGAACGTGCGGGTCTGACTGCTGACTTTCACTTCTCCCTAATCATCATCAGATTGTTTTCAGAGGGAGGCACCTTTTCCCCTGAAGAAATCAATTCACTGTGTTTTCGATTGGAGAAGGAAGCTTCCCGAATAGAGTTTGTCGAAAGTCTAATCATAATGAATATGGAGAGGATGGAGAGCGAATACCTGGACCAGGTCAGGGAGCCCTACCCACTGCAGAGTTGGGCCTCAGGACAGCTCACCCCACAGTGTGGTCTCTGAGGGGAGGGGAAGGGCCCTGCCTAAGCCATAACTGAGACCCTCCCCTCCTGCTTTATTTTTTATCTTGCTCTCCAGGCCAATGATGTCATCAACAAATTTGAGAGTAAATTCCATAACCTGTATGTGGACCTTATTTTCATGGAGAAAATCCAGCGGTTGCTGACAAATCTCCAAGTGAACATCAAGTGCCAGGTAGGCAAGACGTGTTCTTTATGCATCCTGTGGGTGTGTTCACACACAGACCTGCATACCAGGCACACAGAAGCAAGTGTGACCTCTGTCCCATGGACCTGTTTGTCAGCTGAGGAAGACAGGTAACTCTTCACAGCCCCTTGCATTCACTGCATCATGACACACCGTGTGTCTTGCTATCTGACTTATTTTAACTAGTGATGGTAGTCCTCACAAGAGCTGAATGAGACAAGCACTGTTTTAGAGATAAATGCCCCAGTCTAGAGATAAAGAAACTGAAGCACAGAGTAATTCATTGACTTAGTCAAGAACACAGAGTTTTTAATTGATGGAGTCAGAATGCACATCCAGGTCTGACTGTCACCAAAGATTGTGGCCTAAATCCTGGACAGGCTATCTGAGCCCAAAGGGAAGAGCCATGAGGGACATGTGGGTGTGTACGGGAGAAGTTTAACCTGCAGTTGAGGAGAAGCAAATTTCCTGAGGTGTGTACCAAGATCTGGGAGAGTGAGAGGGAACGCAGAGCTGAGGGAGCAAAGGTGAACCAATCTGCAGTAGCTTAGTCAGGCAGGGGGGCAGGGAGGGCTCAAGCAGGGCTAGGTGCTCAGGGCCATGTTGGAGGAGGGCCCTCTGGACAGCCAGCCCACAGGAAGAGAGGCAGGAATGTGGAGGCGAGATATTAGCAGCTGGGTCAGGTGTCAGCAGGGAGCACTTCCGAGGGCAGCACGCACCCTTCAGGGCACAGTGAGTTCAAGACCCACCGAGGCTGGAACCAGGGTGCTAAGAGGACAGGCCTCTCCCACAAGTAGCGGGTGCCTTCCAATAAAAGAAGCCTGCTGAGATCTTAGACTCCGAGGTAGGCCTCAGTCCCTGTCTCCTCCCCTGGAACCCCAGGAAAACACTTAATTTGCTGATCAGTAAAATGAAAATCACACAAGGAACTTGTACAGTGATGGCCCCAGTAAAATGAGTGGAGCAGGCAGTAAATGCATGCTAAGCTCCTGACATGGTCCCTGGTGTAGAGGGAGGCCTCCCCGGGGGCAGGCTTCAGTGGAGGTCCCCACCCCAGAAAGGGAGGAGCAGGAGGAGCCTTGGGAGCAGGGTCCGCAGGGCACGGCGTTCCTGCCCTGGTTAAGGAGTATGTTCCTAATGGACCTCCAACTGGCACACACCCTTCCGAGCCAGTAACTGGGGCTGTGCAGGGTGTTTTCAAGAACAAGTATCATAAGAAAAATGCTTTTGCACTGCAGGCAATATGGAAAAGAGATAAAAAGACATACAGATCCATGGCTCTCCCACTTATAGTCATTACTCCTGTTTAAGATTTGATTTATTGTTAAGATTCTTTATGTGAGAAACTGGAGTATATTTGAATTGGCCTTTTGCTATTTATGCAACTTTATAAGCTGCATACTCTTTTAAAATCCTGCTGAGACACCCTTTGGGGCCACCCTTGGCGGCACTTGCCTGCAAATCCAGTATTCTGGGAGGCTGAGGTAGAAGAATTGCAAGTTTGAACCTAACTTGGGCTGTTAAAGACTAAGCAAGGCCCTGTCTCAAAACATAAAACAGGGATGGGGACAGCTCAGTGCGAAGACCCTGAGATCAAGGCCCAGCACTGCAAAACAAACAAACCAAATAAACAAACAAAAAAATAAATATCCTTTGGATAGCTTCCCTCTCCTGGATTTGCTGCTGTTTTCCCAAGCTTTCATGTTGGGGAATGTTGGGTGGTCACAGCGCTCAATTCTGTGGGTGCACTTTCCCAGCCACCCCGCTGCTTCCTTGGTGCCTCCTGAGAGTTGGCACCTTGGTCCAAGCATGGACGGTCTAAAGCTCTTTATGCCTTCTGGAGGTTATTATGCACTTGAGCCCTTTGGGAGGGTAATTTCATTTAAACCAGACCTGCTTTGTAGTAAAATCTTCTTTTATTTTGTATTGATCTAGTTTCTGGTATAGCTGTATATTTTACTCCCTAGTTTTATTTTCTCTAC